GAAACCTTCAAGATGGTAAATACAACAATTTAACGAAACCTTCAAGATGGTAAATACAACAATTTAACGAAACGTTCAGGATGGTAAATACAACAATTTAACGAAACGTTCAAGATGGTAAATACAACAGTTTAACGAAATCTTCAGGATGGTAAATACAACATTTTAACGAAACCTTCAGGATGGTAAACACAACAGTTTAACGAAACCTTCATTATGATAAATACAATAGTTTAACGAAACCTTCAGGATTGTAAATACAACAATTTAACGAAACCTTCAGGATGGTAAATACAACAATTTAACGAAACCTAGTGAAAGTGTTTTAATTTTAACGGATTACAGGGGAAACCCCGACATGTTATTAAACACAAAGAAGTGTTTAATGATTGCTTCCTCTCCTTACGAAGTTAGACCCCCCCTCCCCCCCGGATGGAGTGAGAATTGAGTTCTGGTATGATTGAAATTCGTTTTTTAGTCTAACTACCACGTCTCGAACGTCAGTTCTCACTTGAATGGTGATAATAAACATATTTGTGTAGTACTCTCAAAGGACACCAGTTGGTTTGTGAGATCATTCAGAATATTTTATTAGTTTTGTTGGAAATACTGATATTACCAGAATGCTAGCAATTTCTGTCTGAACAGAATGATGGAGTATTGTAAGATGTATTAAGATGTGCATGATACAGGGCTGGATATGACATTGTACGTGATTCTGACTCTGATTCCGAGGATTCATGGTTCGCACCCCTTTACCACAAAATTTCACTCTCCACTTTCAAGCCGTGAGTGCGTTACAAGAGTAATGGTCAAATCCCACCATTCGATTAGAATGGCCCAAGAATAGGCGGTGGGTGCTTTTATCTACCTTCCCTCATATTTTATTAGTTCAAAGTTAGAGACGACTATGCACATACGTGTCTTTGCATAAATTTAGTATTCGAAAAATAGGATTGAATATGCAGATCTATTGTGATTATATTACTTTTATATTAATTATATTATATTACTATTATATTAATTATATTATATTACTATTATATTAATTATATTATATTACTATTATATTAATTATATTATATTACTATTTAAAACAAAGAAGAATTCGAGAACTGAAATCATTTTTGAATAAATTACAATAGTTGGGTA